AAGGCGTCCCGGTCCAGAAAAGGTCGCAACTGGTAAATCAGGCGAACCTGATAAAACGCCCCCCTGGTCACGGCCGACAAATGGTCATCCAATGTCAGCCGTGGATCCAGGAGGACTCCCAAGTTGCGCGCCCTCTCTGAGGGGGCCAGGGTTTCGCCCCCTATAGTCAGCGATGGCGTCAGCTGACTATGCCGAGGCGTAGAGAAGAGAAGAGAAGGACGAGGGGGGACATGATAGCAGTCTTCCTGTATCTCAGGGGCTGCCCCAAAGAAGAGGGAGTCAAGCTATTCTCCAAAGCGCCTGAAGGCAGGACAAGAAGCAACGGGTGGAAACTAGCCAAGCAGAGAAGCAACCGAGAACTAAGGAGAAACTTCCTAACAGTGAGAACAATTAACCAGTGGAACAACCTGCCTCCAGAAGCGGTGAATGCTCCAACACTGGAAGTTTTTAAGAAGAGACTGGATGGCCATTTGTCTGAAATGGTATAGGGTTTCCTGCCTGAGCAGGGGATTGGACTAGATGACCTCCAAAGTCCCTTCCAACTATTATTATTACTACTACTACTACTACTACTACTACTATTATTATTATTATTATTATTATTATTATTATTATTATTATTATTATTATTATTATTATTATTATTATTATTTCAGAAGCCTCTGGAGCAACGGCAAAAAAACAGTTAAGGAGCTCCTTGTTCCTTAGGATTGATGGAAAGCAGAATAGATGGAAAATGTGGACTCAAGACATGGGCAGGGCAGGGTAGGACATGCTTACTGGGCCAAAAAACCCAACCCCAGCTGCAATAAACACCCTCTGCATGATTGCAGGTGGACCATAAATATTTCACAAACTGCAAGATGAAAGGCAGACACCCAGGGCCACAGGATCGAAGCAGCCCACGCCGAGGGGCTCCCACAATTACTCGAGGTTCTGACCTGGATCAACTTGCTGGCAAACTGGTTCACTTCGTTCACCCTCTCCTCGTGGGCTGCCAGGTCCGTCTGGAACTCTTCAAATTTCTTCTGCAGCACCTCCACGTGCTCAAGGTCCTGGCCCAACTCCTCCGAGGTTACAATGGCCTCCTGGAAACGACGACGAGAAAAGCTGGGTCAGTAAGCTAGGAGAGGAACAGAACCCAGGAGAGCTGGCAGCCCTGTTCTGAAGCTGGGTGAGCTTCTAAAGGGAGCTGCATTTGGAGTAAGGAATGTTGAATTCAATTTTGGAACATTGATGCTAGATCAGGGGTTTTCAAACTTGGCCCTTTTATGACTTGTGGACTTCAACTCCCATAATTCCTCAGCCAGGCACGTGTGCCTGGCTGAGGAATTATGGGAGTTGAAGTCTACAAGTCATAAAAGGACCAAGTTTGAAGACTCCTGTTCTAGATAGTAAGCTAGCCAGATGTGAGCCAGAACATCAAGGAAATGTTCCACCTGATTAATCAGTTCCCTAGTTCCTTCCCAATCCCAATTTTAAACGAAGGCCAGCCGCTCTCCAAACGCTGCTCTCCTTTGCTTCTTTAAAAACACAATTCTTTCTTTTTAATAAAGTTTTATTAATTAATTTTTTAAAATAGAATTCAATAGTAATGTTTTCTGGGTATCTTATTCACCAATACAAATTAAATTCCTAATCCCTAAACCTTTTTCCTAACCATTGATAAAATGGGTCCCAAGTTTGAAAATGTTCTGCTTCTTCTTTTTCTTTCAACCTTAAAGCGCGTCTGTCCATTTC